TTGGATATGTAATCGAAGACAATAATTCTTCGCATGAACGAATAGTGTTAAGTACTTGTCGTGTACCATCATCAATATTTTTTCTTCCAACACATAATAAATTAGTCTTGTTTTGGATCTAAATAGTAAGAAACAAATATATAAGAGAGAGAAAAACACTTCATTCGATGCTTGATCATCATATGATTCACAAAATGAAGAAACATCAAGCAAAAAGAAAATAAATATAAAATGCTGAGTAATTAATAAGAAGAATGCGATTAGCTTACACTGCCCATACTAACATTTACCATCTATTTTTTTTTCTATGATTAAATAGATCGTTTTTTATTTCTCATTAATTGAATCGAATAGAGTACTTTTTCTCACACAAAGTGCATTAAAAGAATGGGACACTTCCAAATCATTTAAGGTCGATGTAGATAAAACTGTTGTTTTCCAAATAAAGTTTGTAGTTTTACTTGACCAATTCAAGAGAGTATCTTGTAAAAATTCAAATGCAATTAAATTTTTAAAAAAGGTTCAGTAACATTTCTTCCTCAAAACTTGTACAGATTTTTCCTATTTAAAAAAAATAAAGGAATGCTAATTTATCAATGGTTTTTAAATCCATTTTATCTTCGTGTTCAATTGATTGTTTTGAAATTCAAAAAGTGATTGCAAGTGAAAAAAAATGTAAAAAACAGATCTTACCAACCTTATCTAATATAATTAACTGCATAACCCATAATAAGATCATATTACATGCAATACACATTTGTAGATAGTTGTCTTAAAGCACTGTAGTGTGAGATGGATAACATCACGATAATATAAAGGGCTGGTCCGCCTAGGGGCTTGTGACAAACCCCCAATAATCGAAAATTTTCGTTTTTTCCGAGCGAAAATGAAATGTTTTTCTTGAGTTCTGCTAGAAAAAAAAATTTATTCTCATTAAAAAAATTCGGAACAACCCCCGAAAAACTTGCGACAACACCCCAGCGTTTGTTGATTCGGCCTGTCCTGTATCGGGGACTACCATCTGTTGGATATAAACGTGATACTTCATCTGAAAGAATTTCATATCCATCTGGAACTAAATTTGTACAATTAGATATTGAATAAAGCCACCACCAAACAGCATCACGAGCATTATAACGAGCTATTTTTCCATTACCTGATAAATTTGGAATAATATAATGACGAAGACATTCACCATATGATAATATTAAATAACGAGCTGCTTCATATTGACCAGTTAATAAAAAAAGACCACGGAATGATTTAAATGCATCTTATCCCGAATTTCTTCATATTCCAGCACCAAAATGAGGAAAACCTGCAGCAAATGATGGACATTATTGAATACGTTCAAATGTCTGTTCACCTGTTCCTTCTAATGGACGAGATTCACGCAAATTTGGTGATAATAATGGTAAACGAGCATTTGGTACAACACTTATTAATTTAATACTAGATTGTGAAAGTGCACGAACAAATGTTGATAATTGACGAATAAATGGATTCATTATTAACTAACCATGTTCTAATTATATGAGATATGAACCATTTATGATCAAATCAAAATAAGATGGAATAATTAAACAAGACAACGAACTTATATATCCAAATGCATTTTCATACCAATCACCTAACTAAAATTATTCATTACACTTTTTTCTCTATGATGAATCTTTTCGGAATTGAAATGACCTTATCAATTTTTTGTTCAATTTAAACCTTCTTCTTAAAGGATGATTCAAAAGTCTTCTTCTCTCTTAGAAAAATGACTTGTTCTCCCTTATTATAAGTCCGATAACGCTCAAAATTGGACGTCTAATCCCTTGTTACTAGACGAATATTACTCGAAATTTTCAGACATCTAGTCCTTATTATAGGGGAGATATATAGAGTCGTGTGGTAGAGCAGATTTTTTTCCCGCGTCCCAAAAAAGTTTTAAAAAATTTATTCATAAGAAACATCTAAAATAATTCACTTTCAGTAGTAATACATGTATTAACACATTCGATGCGATGGGTTTCACCGGTGGGACCCACCACTCTCTAATAAAATCGAATCGTGTCGAATGTATTAAAGAGAATAGACGAGATTTTTCATGAACATATCGGCGTTCACAAACGTGACGCGATGATGTTTTGTCCACAGTTTCTTCAGTTTCTTTTAGAAACTAGACCACTTAGAAATTTGATTCTTTTATTAAATGATACGTCTCTCTACTCTGTCACAATTCCTGAAAACCAGAGCTCGTTTGGCTTAGTCGTTTGAAAATTCTGGCAAAAACACTGAGCAAAACGCGATGATGAAAATTGGACAAAAAGTTGAGGGCGATGTGTTTGTTCGTTGTTTTTTTCTGAATACGTACTACGATGGAAAAAGCGATTCATAAGGACTTTGTAGCCGACAGCATGGGGTATCCGGCGAAAAAATAAAATTGTTCAAAAAGATCATTTACTGGCTTGTTATTTCGGTTTAATTAACATAACGCGATGACGAAAATCAGTAAAATGCGCTCTCTTTTTTCCTATCGAAATC